AATGAGAGCAGCTTCAGTGGCTTCCTGAACACACCTCCAACGTAAAACCCACACGGAGGCATCCCGGGGCGCAGAAACCTCTCACAGTACACGGGAGAAGCAGGCACATTCAGATGTGCATACTTCTGGCAGTATTGACGCAGCTTCCCCCTCTTTAGCCACGATCTGGGATCACACATGGTTGCACTCCAGCCCAAATGCGGTTCAGATGACCCATTCCCTTCATCAGGATGGAATAAAGCGGTTGTCTCTACAGTCGACCCTTGCACTAGTTCGTTACTCGTCCAAAAATCTTCTCTTGAATTAGTGTAGAGAACTAACAGTACAAGGACACTCGCCAAAACCAATAAACTGAGTCTTCTACGGTAGTGGGACATACCTAAAGAGGAGATAGTGAAGAGAGGGAGAGAGAAGATTGACAGGAGCAGCGATAGCCAACCACCCCACTGTGCACCACAGATGTATCTCTTCGGCTAGCAAACCAGCAGAGGCCACGAAATAGGCCGACGCTGGATTAGAAACCGAATGGGAGCACGGCTCACACAGAGGAGGGGTTGGAACAGACAGACACAAGTGAAAATACCACAAAGAATCATTTACACGCCTGCAACGTCCCAAGTCAAATCCAAGAAAAAGAGGTAATAGCTCGATAAACAAAAAATAACAGAAACAGTATAGGATAATAAACCAAAGTCCATGTACGGAAGAGAATAACAGAAGGAATAAATGCCGATAATAAACTAAAGCACAGTACCACAAAAAGAATACCTCCTCACCCCGCAGAAAAAACATCAGTCGCATCATCGAGTCACCAGTAATAAGAATGCCACGCCCGTTGCGACCAATGCTCGCATGGTGCAGTATTGACAGCGCCACACGCGGACTGAAGTAACGATAGCTCGGGCACGCAGCCGGCCGCACCTCAAACACAGCGTCTGAGGCATCACCAATGTCGGAGGCAACAAGCGTTGCGTTGCTCTGCTGACCGTTGTACGTCGCCGGATAAAAACACGCCTCAGGCTCCCCACGCAGCTGCTCTTTCAGTGCATCCAATGAGAGCAGCTTCAGTGGCTTCCGGAACACACCTCCAACGTAGAACCCACACGGAGGCATCCCGGGGCGCAGAATCATCTCACAGTACACGGGAGAAGCAGGCCAACTTAAACGAGTAGGGTGTTGACAGTATTGACGCAGCTTCCCGTGTATTATCCTCTATTGAAGCCGACGTTTGTTGCTGCCGTAGCTGTTGTGTTTTGTTTTTCTGTGAGAATGTGCACGTTTATTTGGTTTGTAATCTAATCATGTCTATTTTGGATTTAGTGACAAAATGATAGATTAAATGTTTTGGTAGTGGATCTTCTTTCTTTTGTGATGGTCCAAAAATAAAATAAAAAAGAATGTAAAAATGTAACAGTAGATTTCTTAGGTTCTGTCATGATTAAAAATGGTGGAGGAACAGCAGAATGCAGTGTCGAATTAGAGCTATGTAAAATAAAGTGATACAAGTAATAATAAAAAAAATACTTTTCGTTTCCAGAAAAATATTTTCTGTGCGGCAAGGGACCTCCTATAAAAGAGACGATGGGAAAATAGACTTATACTAGACAATCCTATTTCTGGGCGTAAAAGAAAACTTTTACTGTCAATAGAAACACAAATAATAACTGCATCATGCTCATCCACCATAGTCGTTGTACAGTCGATTCTAGAGTACCAATAGCAACCCTTTGTTCCATCCATCGGTATCTAAGAGATTGTATTTGTGCATCTCTAGCGGCGTGCCGAAGTGCTTGATCTTGTGTTAGCGGGGTTCGTGAACTACTTCCTCCAGTAGATTGGTCCATGTTAAGGGTTCCACTGAGGGAACTTCGCTGCTGTGTTGAAAATGTTTGTTCGTCATAGAGTCGGTCCCTCATTACTGAAGCAACTCTGGCCGTACCTCGTAAAGTTGATATAGACCATAGTAGAGATAATGTTACGATAGCAGCAAACAGTAATAGCAAGCCCTGGAATAACATACTTGGTTCTTGACCGCTACCTCCATCATCTCCACCAGCATTAAAAGCTGGACTATCATCTTTTTGTGGAACACCAGAGGTATCATCATCCCCTGTAGTAACACTCAGCTTATTCTCTGCTAACTCCTCTGCAATCATTTCGAGCATTACTCGGTAGGCTTGCGTCATCTCACGAAGAGCTCTAGGGACAGCGATATACTGAATAGCTGAAAATGCCATACTTAACTTCTTACATCCACCACGCACACAGACGGTGCAGTCTCCATCTTCAGAATCAGCTGTAAATGCCAGGAAAGCCTCTGTTCGAAAAGATTGACCCGCAGGGACAGCAGGAGTCTGAGATGAAATCTGGTACATTAACTGTAGAGGACCACTGGCTGATTTTGTGTACGCAAATCTATGGGCCTCGTTTAGTTGTGTTAAGGTTCCAGCCTTGGGTATATCTATAGTAATTGTAAGAGATACCGCACGATATCCACTACTCATGTCACTTGAGTATTCCCATTTTCCCACTTCCAAATCGGTTTCTTTCCGCCGATCATGGTATCGTTTCAGAAAGTCAGACTTATTTGTAAACAATGATTCCCATAATTTAGGGATTGTAACACCCTTCAAAAGGGTCGGCCCAAGTAAACATTTTTTCTCCTTTAGTCTCTCACATGGAGAAAACATATTTTGCGTAACTCCATTGGAGTATTGTAACTTGCCCAAGATAGCCTGGGGCTCCACCCCTGACGCGTATTTGATCACCTCTGCCATTATACTTGGCAGAAAAAAAAATTTATTCGAAACTCCAACTTTCTACTACGCAGAAAAAAAAAAGAAATATTTCTTTTTTTTTTCTTTTTTTTTCGTTTGCTTGATATAGCAACAATAACAATAATAATAATAATATAACGGGCCCCACAATCCGTACAAAATCACTTGCGGTCCCACACAAAATAAAATAAAACCAAAAGAGCAAAGAAATCGGGGCAAAAAAAAAAAACAAGGAAATACATGCAAAAAAAACATACACACAAAAAGATGGAATTGAGGGAAAAACAAATGGCAAACAATGCACAGTAAAACACACAAGAAAAAAAAAAAAATCCATTAACAATATAAATTGTAAAAATAATCAGAAACAAAAGATCAGAGGGAACGCAACAAAAATTTAGAAGCGCAGACGCTGAAAGAACCAGCGGTTGCTGCCGGCGTTGTAGCGGGCCTGGAAGAGCTTCTTCACCAGCTGCTTCGACTTGGACTTCCTCGAGGCATCAGACACGTTGATGCGGCCGCGGAGCTCCTTCGACAGGTCCATGTTGTACCGCGTCGGCAGGAAGTGCTTGTGGTTCACCACGCGCAGGAAGACGCCCACCTGCGAGCGGCGGGTAATCGTGCGCTTGCTCATCCCGCGGACGACCTTCTTTGGGTACTTCTTGATGCCGGCGATGAGGGAGTGGCCGTACGGGCGCTCCTTGTTCTTGGTGTCGGTGTTCTGCACAATCACCGCCTTCTTGCCGGCGTAGCGGCCGGACGTCACAATCACCACCTTACCGGGCTTGAGGAACTTCATTCTGCTCTAGAGTCAGGCGATTGCCGATTCCCTGGGTACCGCAATAAAAATAAAAAGAAAAAAGAAAAAGAAAAAAAAGGAGGAGAGAAAGAAAGAGTATCTAAATAAGGAAAAAAAAAAATTAAAAAAAAAAATGAAAAGAGTTATTTGGAATTTAAACAAATCATAAAAAAAAGAAATAATAATAATTGCCGTATAAACAAGAGTTTCTTCACTTCAAAGCAGTTGATAGTTTTTCAATTGCTCTCTGCGATAGAGTAGCGGATACCAAGCGCTATCTCTTGTGTACTCAACTTTTTCGACCTTCGTGGGTCTCTCACATTTTGCACGGCTAACGTCTGAAGCTTCTTTAGGGCCTCCAGCGTATGTTTTGCCGTTTTCTCTGTATCCCCATACAGAAACTTCGAAACCTCCACACCAACTATCAACGCCTCCTGCACACTCAGTGATCCAAAATTTTTTATTCCAAACTCTAAAATGTCTGTAGCAGCACGTGGATTAACAAAAGAAATATACAAAGCAGTGACTACTGCGCTAACTACCTGTTTCGGATTACCAAGAAGTTGTGAAAGATGCTTGGTGTCAAGATGGCGAGATAATCGCTCCAGGGTTCTCTCAGGTAGCGATATGTTTAACCTATACCCTATTGCCATTTGACTATAGAGAAAGGTATTTACCTGAAGATCCTTCATTCCTGCTATATCCAGTAAGCGAGACGTAGCTATTGCGCCAGCTATTGACTCAAACTTCAATAGTGCCGCCGTATAATCTGTTGTTTCTTTCTTCTTCTTCTTCTCATTCTGCTTCATCATATCAGAGTTAAGAAGAGGCCATTCCTTTACCAATGGTAACCAGAAAGAGATTTCTGACATGTCTACAAAGAAACTCCGTGAGGTTGTCAGTCGATTAGTACTCATCTCAATAACAGTTTGGATAGTCAATACAGAGACAAGATTTGCATCAACACGGCAAAGTGCAGCAACTAATTCACACAAAGTAGTTGCAGAAAGAATATTAGAAAAACCAGCATGATGAGAGAGTGGTCCACGTAAGAGGCATTCAAGAGTTTTATTCTCATATTGACGCAACTCTACAAATCCAACAAAAGCAAAAACAGCATTAAGCAAAGGAAGTCCATCCACTTCTTCAGGTGTTAGAAAAGAACCAAATTGTAAATAAGAATAAGCAGGACCTCGTATAAGGCGTTGAGCCCTTGCTTGTCCAAGGTACTTAAGTAGCAAAGATTTTTGTTTCGCATGTAAGAGAGATGAACGTTGTGGAATTCCATTAATGATTCGTGTAAGAAATGTCATTGAACGTAAATGATGACGTGCCACAACCCCAAGTACACGGAGATTTTCAAATTCTGTTAATTCACGTTTTTGAAGAATATTTAAAATCTCATAATAATCTGACTTTCGTCTTACACCTAATTTAGACATGGAAGTCATATATCGGGCAAGATAAGATGATGGTATATTATCAAAAGAACCCTGCATTCTCTGAAGTTGTCGTTGTAATTGTATCAACATGGGTCTAACTATATATAAATCATATGTATCACCACCTCCTGCAGCCTCTGCATAGATAGTTGCGGATATTTCATTAATGATCTGCAAGATATCTAAAATATTATAACTCTCTACATGTGCTAATATAATATTACACCATGACTCTAGTAAAGATGAATCGTCCTTATTATGATAACTCTTGTCCATCTGACGACGCTTCTCTTGTTGTTGTTGTTGTTGTTGATGTAATCGAGGTGATTTTTTAAGAAATCCCCAGAGGAATACAGTAGTAACAACATCAGCACGTTCTCTTGGTGTTAATACACCAAATTGTTTGTACGGTATGTCAAACATACGCTGCATTAATGCATATGAAATATTTAATCTACCTGCTATGACCTCATCGGATAGGGAAACAAATAAAGGAATTAAATACAAAGAACAATCATTGTGAGAGGTATCACTCTTTTCTAGTTTAGACACCAAAGTTTGTAATAGATTCACTGTAAGTTGAGCAACAAACTGAGAATCTGTTTGACTCATACTTCCATCTTCATGAGACCACGATAAGGAAGCCCCAAGGCATTCAATACACTTTGAAAGTTGTGATAGTGATAAGGCGGCTTCCATATTCGCCGCATCTAATCGCTGAAGTAGACTCATAAAAAGTGGATGATGTTGAACACGGAAGTGAACAACTCGAAGTAACCACGCACTTACCTGCGATGGGGAAAGTGTCGTCACAAGTTGTTTTGCAGAACCAAGCACTCGTAATAGTAAAGAACGGCATTCATCCGGAACATCTCGAAATGTTAATTCACTTAAACGTTGTCGTTCCATCGACTCTTCATTATCTTCTTTGGTTGATTTTTTCACAATGGATGGGGTACGAAGTGTAATAGCATCCACTAGTGTAAGTAGATCCTGTTTACTAAAAGTATCCAAGCGGGATTCAATTGTCTGAGCAACTTTACAAAGTTCTTGAGAACATCCAAGACGTAGACGATAATCATTGTGTTCATTATTACCACTATTATTATTATTATTATTATTATTATTATTATTATTATTATTATCGCTATTTGTGATTAATGGTTGTGATTCCTGCAATGCATCTACAATAATGCGGGCTATACCAATGAGTTCTAGTGGTGAACTCATAACATCCACAAGTGCCGTCGCGCGGCTGTAAAGAAGTGCCGCCAACTGCGGTGTAACGGAACGGTATGGAGATATCTTTAATATCCCCTCCATAACTAGAATAGACTCCGTAGGAGAAAGATTATCCACATCATCTAATAAACTCTCCTGCATCTTTGTAAATAATGGTTGTAAAGACTCTGAGAGACTCTCATGAACAGATTGCTGTTCACGTGTGCAGCATGCCAGGCAGTGAAATATATTAGCCCGAGAGCGAATGTCTGCATTTGGGTACACTTCCGCAATGCGATGGAGAAGTTCCCGGTTGTGTGTGTTGAGAGCCTCCAATTGCCGCATGGCGTGAAGGGCCATTCCGCAGTTTGAGGGGGAAATAACGCCGGGGAAACTCACCCGCTGCGCGAGAAGCCGAATTCGCACGGAGTGATGGACTTTCATTCCTCAATTGAACAGAGAGAGAGAGAGAGAAAGAGGGTTGGCCACCTTATTTACCCAATACACGTCTTTCATTTATTTATTTGTTTGTTTGTTTGAAGATGAAAATAAAAAATAGAAGAATGAGAATAAGAATGAGAAACAAAAAGAGATTTGGAAAGAAGGTAAAAATAGTGATAAAAAAAAGAAGAAGGAAATGATCACTTCTCACACCCAGAAATTCAAACAATCTCATATTTATTTAAAATAGTACAGATACAAATTCATATATATATATATATATATATATATATATATAATATCCTGTGAGCTCCATCTTTTTTTCTCTCCATTCTCTCTCACTCTCAATCATCCCATGTCTTCCACTATCTCTGTGCACGTCTCTAATCATCCCGTGGTCTCTTGTTATGATTGTTCACTTTCGAACTACTCCGCCTTTCATTACGCCCAACAATATACCCAGATTCATATCCCGCACGATAGAAGGCTGACACCAGGCGCTGAATATCTGCCGGTAAATTGCTAATTCCATCTTGTATAAGTGAAACTGGCTCCATTGGGGCAACTACAGTACCTGTACGAGGAGGAAAACTCTTTATGGCTTCTTTAGGATCAGCAGACAAAGAAGACGAAGCAGATGCGGAGGATAATTTGCTCTCCTCTACGCTTGTTTCAGAGGTAATTAAGCTATCATCATCTGATAATTCTGTACTGAGGGCATTTCCCTTTGATTCTATATTCTTTCCCTCTTGATTCTGCTGCTGCTGTTCCAACTGTGCATTCCAGAGGCGAATAAGTTCACCATCATCCCAGAGACTCTCATCATCGCGACCACGCTGGAAAACAGCAGCCGAGGAGTTCGATACGCCAGACGCCTTCGCACCACCTCGCTCCATGTATATATAATGATGAGTTACGTGCTTTTTTTTTTNAATGAAAGCATACAAAAAAAAAAAAAAAAAAATTCATTAACAAAAATGATTAAAACACATTAATGTATCAATCTGGATACCGTGAAAAGGTATGCCTTGGATTATGTTGTTCCTTCTTACTTTGATAACAACGCAGACACCAATCGTAATCTTTACACATATTACATCGATAGCGATATCCAATAATGGGAATCATACCGCAGCCATCACAGCCGTTTGGGTGAAGACTCTCCGGCATTGTTGTATAATAATGAAGTGGATCACTTAACGAGTAACGTAACACATCATCCAACACCTGACGAAGTGAAAAGTTTATATTCACAAGATTAGAATCTAAAGTTTCTCTTTTCTTTTTCATATCAAATCCCATAAAGTCACTCTTATCGGTTTTATTATTTTCTTGTAGAAGAGAAATATATAATTTTCGATCTCGCCACATGGATAGAATAGTATTGTATGCATCTACAAATTCCACATAATAAAGAGAATCTACTTTTATATGAGGTTCTGTTGAACTTACATACATGTATTCCTCTTTCAGTTGCGCCCCAACATACCAGCGGCGTACCATCTCACACGCACTGTGATCACTTAATGTGATGTCAAACCTCGCACAGGTGTAATGAAAAACTTCCACAATTAACCAAAGTGGAAGTATACTCATATTATCACTATTTTCCTCTTTTGTATAATTATCAGAAGGAATACCAACAATATTATTATTATTATTATTATTAGTAGTAGTAGTAGTAGTAGTAGTTTGAATAGGATCTTTGTTATCGTGAAGACTATTACGACTAGATGGGTCCCCTTGTGATTTCATTAACTTTGCATTCATTCTATCTATTGCGTGTGTAAGGAATGATTTGCCCTTATCAAACACTTCAATCTTCTTCTGTGGGTGAAATACACCGCTGCAGTGACGGAGTAATATCAGCAGAGCACAACAGTCTAATAACCCAGCAGTCCCTTCACAAGAAAGTTTATGAAGTGATGCTGATGATGTTATCATTGTTGTTGTTGTGGTCTCTTCTCCACTTATACTCTCATTTGATCGTAAGAGTGCATCTTGTGTTAAGATAAGATGTAGTGTATGTATATATATTCTTCTCACATCATGAATATCTTGTGCAGATGTTTCTCTTTCCAGTTCTTCAAATACAAATAACATGGCGAGTAGACGAAGTAGACCCAATTCTATACATACAAAGGCCTCAACATCACTTCTCTCCATACAGTGCCTGCATAACTCTGCTAGCACTCTATCTTCTTCTTTTTCTTTTTCTTCTTCTTCATGAATAGATTCTCTGTTACTCTCCTTCTTATCCATCGCATGTGTGGAACAAAGTTTTAAATGAACTAGCAAACAAAATTCATGAAATTCAATAATATCCATATGTCGACAAACACGAGAAAGATCTTTTTCTGTTAGGCAAAGTACACTTTCCACTCCACTCCATTCCCAAAAGAATAATAAGGTGGATTTACGCATAGGCATCGTTGAGGTACCACTCTCGTGTTGACCAGTAATACGGCGGAATACAATCTCTATAAGAATTAACTCCGATATAAGAAAATTTGGCCAACAAGAATATTCCAGAGGAGGTAAAAGAAAAGATGGAGGTATAATACTTTTATCGGATTCCTTCAAGCCAAGTAAAGAGATAAAACGATGTGGATCTGGATTAACACTAAAATTGTGTTGTGGGATATGTTTTCCAAGGCGGAAACAAGCTGCACATAATGAGACTTTATCCTCTTTACAATCTATACAAGTATACAAAAATCCAATAACAGGGGATTCTCCACAATGTTTACATGTAACATTTATGTGAACCTGATCCGTGTTAATAACAAGTCGTCTTTCTTCAGTAAAGTATGAAGATCTGCAAGAATGAAGAACTGTATTCTTTCTCTTATTATTATTATTATTATTATGTGAAGATATCTCCGATTGATTATCTTGGAGTAAATAAGGTTGTGGAAACGGTGTTGTCGTCACAAACTTCCGACAATCTTTTAAGAGCGTATGAATGAAAGATATCACACACGATGGAGTGACTTCCTCAATCTTTCTCTTATTGTATCGCGTTAACAATAATATCTCTGGAGAAGAAGAAGAAGGCAATGGTAATGGATTTAAACCTAATGTTGATTCACTTGATGGTGAAAAGCCAGTAAATGTGTTTTCTTGCCCATTCCCTGCATCCTTAGAAGAAGTTTCCTGTAAACCAAACCAACTAAGAGACGTCTTATCCTTTTGTTTCTTCGACTCTGATAATATATTAAACATCCAACTAGCTTTCTCTGATGAGTCAAAGGCAAGATAATAGTTATCTTCATCATCCTGTTGAGTCGTGTGGTGAATACTTCGGCGAACAACTGGTAAAATACACAATACATTGCATTTACCAGATCCATCTGGTGCAATACCATAATATAATAAACCACAATCCTCTCCCATGTAAATAAGGCCCTTACAACGTGATGTTTCTTTATCATTCTCAAAATATAAAATAAATGGATACTGGAAGAGTAGAAAAACACGTTTCCATGTAGATAACACCTTATATCGTCGTGCTGTAGCTCCTCGTAAGTGTGCAAATAAACGAGGACATGATTTAAAATTTGCTCCAATTGGACTTGCCAGTAATTCTCCTAATGTTCGTGGATGTTGTTGTAGTTCATACCAGAAAGAGGCATGATCATCTTTCACAGGACGTGCAAGTCGTGTTGAAGAGCCTAATGGTTTCTCCTTTGCAGGCGTCAATGCAATTGGAGGAGTACTCAACATACAACAACCAAACAGGGCGTTCGCAAAACTAAAGTCAATAAAAACACAAGAGAAGAAAGAAAAAAAGAAAAAAAGAAAAGTATATTCCTCACTTATCACGGTATTGAATCAAAATATCACAGGTTACCAAATACATATATATATATATATATATAAGAAAAACAAACAAGAAGAATATTTATAAAGCTAATAAAAGATGACCAAGGTCCATAAAAATGAAAAATAAAGTAACACACAGTTTCCATTCATTCTTCAACTATTTTTAGAAGCGCAGACGCTGAAAGAACCAGCGGTTGCTGCCGGCGTTGTAGCGGGCCTGGAAGAGCTTCTTCACCAGCTGCTTCGACTTGGACTTCCTCGAGGCATCAGACACGTTGATGCGGCCGCGGAGCTCCTTCGACAGGTCCATGTTGTACCGCGTCGGCAGGAAGTGCTTGTGGTTCACCACGCGCAGGAAGACGCCCACCTGCGAGCGGCGGGTAATCGTGCGCTTGCTCATCCCGCGGACGACCTTCTTTGGGTACTTCTTGATGCCGGCGATGAGGGAGTGGCCGTACGGGCGCTCCTTGTTCTTGGTGTCGGTGTTCTGCACAATCACCGCCTTCTTGCCGGCGTAGCGGCCGGACGTCACAATCACCACCTTACCGGGCTTGAGGAACTTCATTCTGCTGTGTGTGTGCTACTCTGTAGAGATTAGGGGGAAAAGAGAAAAGAAGAATAGATAGAAAGAGAGTGTATAGATAAGGGGAAAGGAAAATGAATCACCACCATGCTAACACGGCAGAGAAAAGGAAAATATGATTATCCTACACGTCTTGACCAATACAAAACAAAAAGAAATGTATGAAGTAATGGGGAATCGTATATTGGAAATGCGAATCTGTGTGAACAATCATTTCTTTTTTTCAATTTGAGATATCAAACGTATGCTTCTAAACCGCTCTCTGACCACGATGACCACGACACACATTACTTCAGACTTTCACAAAACAAAAAAAAAATGCAATTTCCCCATAAGAGTGGTGCGCCCCTAGTCCCGCACTGCTAAGTCGTTTATTACGTAGAGTATATATATATATATATATATATATATA